TTGTAATGAGGGTGAAAGAGGAGAGTGCAAAAAACGGCCTGAAACTCAACATCAAAAAAACTAAGATTATGGCCACTGGTCCCATCACCTCCTGGGAAACAGAAGGGGAAGACATGGAGGCAGTGACAGATTTTATTTTCCTGGGCTCCATGATCACTGCAGATGGAGACAGCAGCCACGAAATTAAAAGACGCCTGCTTCTCGGGATGAAAGTGATGACAATTCTTGACAGCATCTTAAAAAGCAGAGACATCACCTTGCCAACGAAAGTCCGAATAGTCAAAGCTATGGTTTTTCCTGTCGTGATGTATGGAAGTGAGAGCTGGACTATAAAGAAAGCAGACCGCCTAAGAACTGATGCCTTTGAATTGTGGTGCTGGAAGAGACTCTTGAGAATCCCCTGGACTGCAAGGAGAACAAACCTATCAATTCTAAAGGAAATCAACCCTGAGTGCTCACTGGAAGGACAGATCCTGAAGCTGAGGCTCCAGTACTTTGGCCATCTGAGAAGAAAAGACTCCTTGGAAAAAAACTTGGTGTTAGGAAAGTGTTAAGGCAAGAGGAGAAGGGGACGACCGAGGATGAGATGGCTGGACAGTGTCTGCGAAGCAACCAACATGAAATTGACAGACCTCCTGGAGGCAGTGGAAGATAGGAGGGCCTGGCGTGCTCTGGTCTATGGGGTCACGAAGAGTCGGACACGACTAAACGACTAGACGACGATAGCTAAGGTTCAAAGTGAGAGACCAAAAATGCCACTTTTGTATGAAACAGAGATGTCATTATGAGGAACATACTTGTGCAGACTGTTAACAATTTGTTAAATCAAGGCAATTTTAATATAAGCAAGATGCATCTCAAGGAACTCTTATGTGCAAATAAGTTCCAAGTGCTCTGTAATTCCAAAATAAAAATGAGAGCAAAATCAAAACCATGAGTCTCAAACAGAGTTTGTTGATGGCAATGTCTGTTTTATGGCATCCATCTACTTTATTTATCTGTGTGATTGATATACATCCCAGTTTTCTTCCAAAGCTGGGACTCAAGGAAGCTTACAACAAAACTGGAAAAAACAGGTACAAGCTTTGGAATCCTGCCTTGATCATTTTGCTTTTAACTGTTCTACTGCACTAAACAAGAATACACAGATAAGCATCAGTTTACGAACAAAACACTTATGTACACAGTAAAGTTTACAATTAATCAATACAGAGAATGTCAAGGGTAAAAATCCACATCAGATTAGTAGGGGAACCTCAGAACAAATCATCCAAAGGGAAAATTAAAAGAAATAAACCCACCCTCTGCTTTGGAACCTGAATGAAGTCTTAAACAATGTTGTGTTTGCATCTTAGCAATGGCTTGCTAGGACATTGAAAAAATGAAAGACCTCATCCTTATCCCAAACAGCCACCTCAGTTGAACATTTAGTACATTTTACTGGATGATATATCTCCTCCTCTTCCTGTTTTTCCAGACCAGCAATGGATTCACTATTCTGTTTGAGTGTCTTGCGCCCTCTCTTTGTCTTCTTACTCAATGGTTCTTTGTATTTCAAAATCTCTTCTTTGATAACAGTGCAGTTCATCACAAACATTGCTCTATACTGAGTTTTGTATGATTCATGCCTGAAAGAAGAGAAGAAATGCAGTAATCTTCAATTGCATAGTTCAAAACTGGTAACACTTCATGTTTTGGATTCAAACAATTTGCAAATGTAGAAAAAGCAAAGAAGCTTGGTTCAATTTCAGAAAGATAGCAGTCACAAGAAGATAAGAGGTACCACCTTGTATTACAAACTATCTGGCTTATTTGACCTAGCTTTTTGTAGATAGTGTATTGTACCTGTAAGCTGCTACTAATGCAAAAGATCATATAATCCACTTTATTACTGTCTCCCTACACAGCTCTCATGGTTTTTCAGAGTAATCTCTGTAATGTGTAGTTATCAATGAACTCTCGCCTCATTCCTACAGCTTGGAAAAATAACTTTTTGGACTAATCATCATCATTATCTTTGAACTGCAGAGGGAACTGGGAGGGAACCCCTGGATCATCAAGTCCAGCTCCTCTCAAGGAGGCACACTGGAGGACTGAACTCCCTACCTCTGGCTCCGCAGTCAGAGACCTAAACCACTGACTACAACTCCAAACTGTAGTTTTAGACTACGTCTTCCAGGCTCTTATAGCCAACATGGGGAATACTTTTCCAAGCTCTAGCCATTTCAGAACCATCTCGTTTTAAATTAGAAAAAGTTGAAGAAACCTGTTTCAAATTAGTTTCCCTCACAGCTGTAAGAGAATGAAGCCAACCTTTCAAATACAGACATCTCCTTAAAGATTTTTTTAAAAAAGAGTTACACACAATGGTGGTAATTCTGCTGGGAAAAAAATGTTTACCAACAGGACAGAGAGACTGAGGATTCTTTTACTGTATTCCATTCTGTTCCAACAACAAGCTGGGTGGGGCGGGGGTGTGATACTGGAAAGAGGGAAATGGTAAAACATATTTCACTTCCATCGGCTGATGCTTTCAGTCAATGGAGTGACCACCACTGGATAACACCCTAAGTGCTTCATGACAGAACCTGTCCCTGTGTTTGGATCCAACACAAGGACTACAAAGCAAGTTAATCATGCTGCAAGTCCACTGAAATCCTTGGGACAATTTAGCCATGGTGCCTTTGGTTCCAATGATTTAAGTAGGTTTAAAGCATGACTAACTTAATCTGGACCAATTTATTGTTCTACTGAAGACAAAAATCAGCTCACTGTGTAAATCTTTCAGGCTAAATCCAACCGCTAGTCCCAACCAGAGTAAAGCCACTGAATCAGAGGAAACTTTATAGGTCAGCAGTTCTGTAAACTGTTAATTCAAGAAATCCATTCTAATTGGGATTAACAACTGGATTTAAAACAGAGCATTAGAGATTACTACTGAAGAAAAGTACTCTGCAAAGAAAAATAAGCCCAGCTTGCTACTTGAATTTTGGACTGATCTCCCCTCAATTCCCTTTGTGTGTGTATTTATTTAGTTTGCCAGCCCAAAGGCATCCCCTCTCTCCGTTTTACTCATGTGAACTGCTCTGGGAGTTAATAATTTGTCTGAAAAGCAGAATGAAAATATATAAATAATAATATGTTTCTGAAAAGATGAAAATGTTATCTTGCCGCTTTATTAGTGTGGAATATTGCTTTGCTGATGTTTTGAATAACCAATATGCTGACCTCTATAAAGGAGTTTAGAAAAGTAACTGTCTTGGTCTATACTTCCCAGAATTCTTCAGCTAACTTTTCCAGCTGTCTCTTATGGACAAGCAGCTATAAGTTTGCCTCTCTTATTCTACAACTAATGTCCTGTCTCTCATAAGCCAATGTCCACAAAAACTAAAATGAATTACAGTTCCAATGTGACTGTGTGAAGAAGCACTCGCTCACATCATTGGCCAAAGTCAAACACAAAGCGGAAATTGCCTAAGATTCAAGTAATTACCTCTGACAGTCAAGGCACAGCGTTGTCATGCAAGCAGGGCAGTTCAAAACAGCGTCACTGTTAGGGATCGCAGGATGTTTGACATGCTGTTGTGACTGTGTACTTTTCACACTATGATACCTATGACAAGATAGCACGATTAAGCATCCTTACTATAAAGCTCATGCGTTCCCCAACTTGCAATATGAACTTGATCTCATTCCTAAGTGCATGACTAAAAACAGCAAAACAGGAAGATTAAATGCCTGTTTTCAATATTGCCCCCTTGCCATCAGGAGTTTGGTACACCTACTTTCCCGTTCTGTTTCAGCCATATCATTTATCTTTGTTTTCATGTAGATATAGGTAAGCTCCTAAGATAAGCCTTGTATATGAAAGTCTTTCTTATCAGACATTCTCATGCTAGTTAAAGAACATGCACAGAAACCACTAAAAAGAAGGTGCTGACAGGAGCACCAATTATGATGCGCTTTCACACTCAAACATTACCTAGACAAGTAGAAAGCAGATGCTTTCAAAAAAGCAGCTCCCACCCAACTACAAAATGTGAAACAGATTCAAGTAGAGCAGTCAACTTGATTCTTCATAATCCTTTCCTCTTGTGAATTTTATCATAAGTCAGGAAAACCATCACGGTGACGGCAGCCTCTCTCATCCTTCCAATCACTCTTGGAGCTCCGCTCTCTTCCTACTCGGCTAGCCACTCCAGGCAGTGGGAGGGAGGACGAGTCTCCCTGCATGGTTGCTGAATCACTAGTTGAGCAGGAAGAGAATGACGCTGGCCACGTGAATGGACAGTGGGAGGGAGGATGAGTCTCCCTGCATCGCTGCTGAATCACTAGCTGAGCAGGAAGAGAATCATGCCGGCCACAGGAGCCCAGCCCCTCGTTTCCAGTCGTGTGGGAATATTCATATTTGAATATGAATATCCCCATATCTGGTCTTTAACTTATTGTTAGAGAAGCCTTAGATTCCACCTGTGATGAGCACACAGGAGAGGAATCCTCGTGTGTGAAATTCTAGTCTGAGAGCTAGAATTAGTTCCCACTCTTCCTGCTTTGAGGAAGGATGTGAAGACACATCTCTTCAAATTGGCTTTTAAAACTGTTTCATTTATGATGGTTTAAATGACTGATGATGATGATGATTCTACTGATTCTGGCCTTAAACCCAATTGCTAGTTTCAACTAGAAAAAAAACTTAATGAATCTACTGGCTAAACACTTACATAAATCCCATTGAATCAATGGGTCTATTCCAGCTGTGACTAGCATTCAGGCTTATACTGTTTGATTTGGTTTGCTGCTCTATTTTGAATCATGTTTATGTTATGTCATGTTTCAGTGGAAAGGTAGCACAATTAATTGCTATTATATTACTACTACTACTACTACTACTACTACTACTACGAAGAAGAAGAAGAAGAAGAAGAAGAAGAAGAAGAAGAAGAAGAAGAAGAAAAGAAGAAGAAGAAGAAGAAGAAGTTTAACACTGACACCTTCTACTAAACAAGTATGGCCCTGAATGAAGCATGGTTGCTGCCAGTTGAATGTGTAATATATAAATTAGTGTAACCTGTTACACTCAGAGTGAGAAATATAACCAAAACTTGTAACAGAGATGTCAGTTCTGAGTAACCTCATGGTTCTAAATACAGTCAAGTTCTTACCCTCTTCTTTTCATGTCTACCCATGCCTGGTCTCTATTGTCTTCTTCTGGATCATAAAACAACTCGTCATTAGTTGGAATTCGACGCTGTTGGTGCTTTCTTTTTTTCCTGACTTCTGGCGCCACTGTCAAGTTTACACATGCATTTTAGAACATATACCCCAAAGAATGTGATGCTGAATCTTAAAAATAACATGTAATATTATCCCATCAATTTTAGAGACACCCCAAATTTATCCCTCAAACCAAGCTCCTTGTCTCTGGCACTTCATTTGTTACAATATGACAGAATGTTTCCCAATACTGCCTTTGTTTTGACAGCCAGAAAAACTAAGGCAAGATGTAAACACGCATTCTTCCCCAAGATAACACTGTAAACTGCTGATTCAGTGTCATTTATATAGAATTTAAAGTACAGTTTGGAGCTGTGAAAGACCCTGAAGAATTTCCTGCCTTACTGTTAAACATCACTTTGAATATTTTATCCATCCAACCAATTCTTTTAGAATGATAATATTTTATTGGCTTCATTTGGATCAATTATTGTAACATGTATTTTTTGCCTGCCTGGCAACCCCCTTTCTTTCTCCATTCAGCATGCAAGCAATGAAACAAACCAAAACTCTTCTAAAGAATCAAAATTTCCTATTTCGTCTCAATTGGGAAACGACATCTATTAGGAAAAGACAGGATATTATGCCCACTTCAAGAGGCAGGCTGCTTATCTGTAACTGTGGTCCTATGAGCTGTTATCTGTGCACTTGCACAACTGTGATCTTGTATCTGTGCTGAACCTTCCTTGGAACATTCGAGAGCTGAACAATTAGGCAGGAAACCCACCGTCACTCTCCATCATGCATGTGTAGGTGCACCTCAGCTCAAGCCTCTCATTTTCTATATACCACAAAATTGCACACAGCTAAGAGAGACACCAAGAGGAAAGGAAGGTAGAAAGTGTGAATTTGCAGATGATAAAGCACCACAGTTTACAGATAAGCATTCTGCCATTCATCTTCATGGTCTATGTCAGTGGTTCTTAACCTTTGTTACTCGGATGTTTTTGAACTGCAACTCTCAGAAACCCCAGCCAGCACAGTTGGTGGTGAAGGCTTCTGGGAGTTGCAGTCCAAAACTCCTGAGTAACCCAAGGTTAAGAACCAGTGGTCTATGTGACTCAAACAATTGGGAGCCTAAAAGTTGTTTTAGTGGAGGTAGATTTTGTTGTTATTGTTGTTTAGTCGTTAAGTCGTGTCCGACTCTTCATGACCCCATGTCTACCGGAGGTAGATTGTGTCATGCCAAAATAAAGGAGATCTGTTCCCCCCAAACAGTATCAATGTGGGCCATATGTCAAGTTGGTAGTGATGAACAAATTTTGATTGCTGAGACCAAGTGACAGCTCTCCAAATTTCTAGCAGAAGAACACCATGAAATGTGGCTGATGACATTGCCAGAGAGCTTGTGTAGTGGTATTTCACATTTTAAAAAAGAGAGAGACAAGCCTTGGTAAGCTAAGGCAATGCACTCAACAATTCAGTAAGCCAGGCACAGAGAAGACACTGGGAAACTATATTTTCCAACATAACAAAGAACTGAGGCAAATGGCAAAATGATGCAGTTCTAGACAAGGAGAAAGCTAAAGACTGCCTAACTGTGAAGGGAAAGACCAGAAGCTTCGGGTCTTTCTAGTAGAGCCGACTCTCTTAAAGACCTCCAAAATGACCCAGACTAGCCCTCCTACCTCCCCTGGTAGTAAGGAAGACCAAGGTGCCGGCGCACAGGAGTCAGGAGAAGCACCACCAGAGGGGAAGGTGTCATGTGCGGTTGATACCAGCGACTTGGAGGAAGCTCTCAAGGGGTTAATGACACCCGGTCCTTATAAGGAAGAATTGGAGGGAAGAAAGGAAGTGGGGTTAAAGGGGGAGGAAGGAGGGTTGGGGGATATAACGGTGAGGTGGGATGATATCCCCGGTGGTTGGGAGATGGTCTGGATAGAGGATCCGTGGACCAAGCGTTGGGAGCAGGTGCGAGTGCCTCGTGAGGAGGCCGAAAAGAGGCATAAGAGGGGCTTGATGCAGAAGCCCTCTTACTGGGGGGAGACGGAGGCTAAGCTCTGGCATAAGAAGCTGGCCGAGGCGAAAGAGGCAAGTGAAAGGGAAAGGGCGGCCAGACAGGCATGGCATATAGAAGAGCTGAAGAAGATGGGCTATTACCTGGTCCCTGGAGTGCCTCGCCAAGAGAAGGAGACCTTTCGTGGGGTTGGATGGGAGACGAAGAAACCCTCCCATTATTGAGTCCGTTTGATCAAGAAGGGAAGGACAAACTGTTGGGGGAGGTCCCTGTTGGACCTTGGGACTCTGAACCTGTTAAAGCTGTTTTTGAAACTACATGGATACCCTTGCCCGACCCTGTTTCAGGGCAAGAGACTAAACCAAAGTCACCAGTTAAAAATGACGTTCCGTTTGTTCCGTTTAATAAAGAAAAGTTAACAGCAGAGAAAGCAGTTTCGACTCCTTCTTGGGAAGGGCGGGAAGCCCTGAACAACGAACCCTCACACTAACATCCAGAGTATGGAGAGAATGTTCCAGACAAGGAGAAAGCTAAAGACTGCCTAACATCCAGAGTATGGAGAGAATGTTCTAAGACTAGGGAAGAATGTCTGAAAAAAGCAAAAAGTATGATATCTTGATTTAAAATGAAAGAAGTAGACAACCTTGGGAAGGAAATAAATGTCAGTCAAAATTGAAAATTATTCCGGATAATGACATTTAGCCGAGACACGAGTACAGCTCACTTCAGATGAGTAGGCAACTGCTGGAGTAGGCAGAGAAGTCCATGCTCCTGCTGTAACTGGGCGGACAGGCGAAGAGCAAGAGACAAGCAGCATGTGCTGACTGGTAAGTGGGGTTGCTGGCTGGGAAGGGCGAGGAAAAGGAACATGCAGCACCTGTGGTGCTGCACCAACAACTTACAATGACATGGCATGACCAAGTCGTGCCCATGTCTTATCTACCCTCAACCTAAATCCATGTTGCAAATCTTTATTCAATTAGTTTAATATAACAAGAAGAGTGCTATTATTTGCACAAAGCTATCCTTATAACAGACAGGCTACCAGAATGTAATCAATCTTGTTAAATTGGTTCCTCCTTTTTATCTAGGAGATCAAATAAGGTTAAAGTTAGAGCTACAGCCTGTTTCCATCCTACAACCCATTCAGTGTCAAAACTGTTGTGGACAAAGAAATCACGTATGCAGAAGGGATTTCCTAGCACAGGGGAAGGCAAAGCCACCTCCAGTTAGTTACCTTTTTTGTCTTCATCCTCTGAATCAGAATCAAAATAAATGTCATCATAATACTTTGCAGTGGAGGTAGTTCCAGATTGCCCAGCATTGGAAGTATCACCTAAATTACAAAATACATAATTGTTGGATTACTGTAGAGAAACAGCAACCTAAATATTCTCTTGGATATGTAGTCTGACTTTCTTGTAGTGGTTTGCAATTATTGCTGTGTTCCAATCCTCTTCTTAATTGTCTGTATAGCAAACAAATTAACTAATTTATATCTTAGCACCTATGAAAACATGCAGAGAGCAGCTGCTCGGCCTGCCAAAAACATCCTGAGATTGTTTAGGGCAGATGTGTCCTAACTGGGAGTACAGAGACCCACTGTGATGCAGTGGGTACAGTTCTTGGACATGGGAGAGAGAAAAGGAGGAACAGAAGAAACACTAGTCCAAGGTCATCAGACTGCATTCCTATATACTTGCTTGCAGAAATAAATATAGGGCATGCCACTCTTGTGCAGTTTCTGTCCTTTTTCTTCTTCTTCTTTTTGTACACAGAAGCAAACTGATATTCTCTTTGCCAGATCTGGCCTCTCAAAGGGTACTCAATTTCAGTATAGAAAGAAGTGTATGGCAAGAATAGAAATATGTAAGATGAAACTGCTATCATGAAGCCATATTTTACAACTTAATAAAGTTTCTTACCAGTAAGTTGTGACTTCCACTTGCCCTCCATGTTCTTCATGGTAGAGGCTAGTTCAGCTTCCATTTCCTTCTGGAATTCATCATCACTAGAAGACTCGCTTTCTCCTGTCAGACATTCCCGTATCAACTTACGCTTCTGATCAGGGGTCCCATGTAAAAGCACATCCACTTCATCTTCAGAGCTAAACAAATGTGAAATATTGAAGCCTTTTATTTAAAGTTGAGTCTTGCAATCCTATCATTAGCAAATCAAAAGCACTGCGAAGGTTCTTTTATAAAGAGGTTCCTTTTGACAGTCACTTCCAAACTGAAGAACTTCCTGTCTAGAGAGGCCAGGCTGATTTTCTCTCTGTTCTCCTTGACAGGCAAATATTTTTGTTTAGGCAGGCCTCTGCCACATAGGCTTGTCTGCTATTGAAGGGAGTCCAAGATTTCAATGTTGGTGTAATGACTAGAGTATCAGCCTAGATACTAGATACTAGAGTATTAGACTGGGGACAGCAAGATTCAAAGCTCCATTCAGCCAACAACCTCACTGGGTGATACTGGATCATCCATTTTCAGTTTGCTCTGCCTGATTTCAGAAAGTTGCTTTATGCTCACTGGATGAAAGGCAGGATACAAAAATACTAATAAATAATTTGAGTGCTGGGCTTATCTTTTTGAATGATCTGTATTTTATTTGTATTTGGTTTCATGTTACACTTCTGCTTTTAATCTACATTTTCTTAATGCTGACTCCTCTGAGCTCATTGTTGAAAGAAAAATTGAGTTAGAGAGAGAGAACACTATGAAAAAGTTTTAACAGAAGAAACACAGTGTTTGTTAGCTTGTTGGAAACACACATATTTACAGATGCAATACAGTGGTAAAGTGAATGCCAGAAAGCCAGTGTGATGCAAAAATGTTGAAGAAGCTGGCAGCAAAACTATGACAAGAACAGCAGTGATATAAAGAAGCTTACTGTACAGATAAAATACAACTCTGTGTATATGGAGGTTAGAAAGGGGGAGGGAAATATGGGAAGAAATGAACAGGGGTGTTAACCAACAAAGAGTGTATATGCTGGATCATCTGTTGTCAACCCATAGTATGATTCACTTTCACAAGCTATTCATTATAGTGGCTTTTATGCTTCTTCACGTCATCCAATCCCAGCAAGAAGAAATATGTTCAAGATGCTGATTATCACAGATACTTAATACAACATTTTGGCAAAGAGTTCAATAATAACTGGGTAATGATAACATGTGTAAAAACAAGTCACTCGGGTAATCAGCTTTTGTGATACGACTTAAAAACCGTTAAGTTATTCAGTTTCTCAAGCCATCCTGATATCCATTTCATGGTTAAGAAAGTAAAAAAGGGGTTTAGAAAACAGATTTTACCATAGTCGTAAAAAATGCAAGCAAAAAACCCAATTTCTAAACAAGAGTTCTGACAGAAGGGGCTGTGTTTCAAATACTTTTGAGAGATCATGACAGCTACAGGATATGTGTGAAGCTCTTAAGTAAGAGTTTTACAAAAGCCACACGACGACGGAAAAGAAGATCTAACTCTTTTTCTCTCGACCCTCGATTCCAAAGGTTTTACCAACATTAAGTAATTAAAATGACAAAACAGATCTCCACTCTTCGCACCTCGTTGTACGTGGCCAGACCCCCCCACACACACACCAAGGAAAAACAGACCGGAAAGAGAATTAACTCCTCCTCTAAAAATTCAAGAGACCTGCTTTCGGCCGGGTCCTCATCGCTGGGCTCCTCAACCACATACGGATCGTCTTCCTCCCGCAGACGACTCATGCCGACTTCTAAATCCACAAACAATCACAAATCATCCGCATCTCTGCGCAGCAGGAAGCGCCCCGTCTCTTCCGGTTCCTGTAAGCCTGGAGCGGGTCCTTCCCTCTACTGAGTCCCGGACACTCTCCGAAGAAGGCGTAGTTCCGGCTTTTAGATGGTTGCGTTAGTAGTGTTGTGTACGCCTTCATCTGCACACACACACATTAATTGATCCGTGATAACTATCACTACCCGACCTTCTAAAGCTGAAGACATCCGCTCCCCTCCCTCTCGTGGTTAGCCCTGCGACCCGCAGCTCCCCTTCTCTGTACAGTAATCTGGCCGGAAAAGGGATTTTCAGCAGGGGCAGCCTTTTCTGTTTCGACCCGATCGGGCTAGCAAAGGAATTATCATCAGCTTCCTTCAGCCGTTTTTAAAGCGTCTGAAATTCATATACTGAGACAAGCTGTAGTTGCATTTCCGGTTCCTTACTCCCACCTCCCAAGCACTGGAGGCATTGTTTTTTTTACCCGGCACAAATCCTTCACCTAAAGTTACTCAGGAGTTTTGGACTGCAACTCCCAGAAGCCTTCACCACCAGCTGTCCTGACTGGGGTTTCTGGGAGTTGCAGTTCAAAAACATTCGAGTAACAAAGGTTAAGAACCACTGACCTAAACGACGAAACGATCTACCGTCATTGTGGACTCCTGCTGTTAGGCTTCCGGTCTTCTGAACGAACATGTGGCTCATCCAATGCGTGTTTATGCAAACATAAAATTCCAGTAAGTTCAGTAGCCCCATAAAACTGCAACGAGATACGTTTCATCAGAAGGTATTCAGGAGGGCCTGCAGTGACTTTCGTTGCTCCACGGACTTGATTGCCAATTGCTGTACGTAAGGCCCATCCCCTGAAATTCAGTTCCCATCCCATCAGTAGGAATGCTCACCCCCTTCATTTGGGGGGCATTCAGTAGTTCATTCCACTATTCCAGGACTTGGAGGTAGAATCCCATCCCCCTTCCCCGCCCAGAATGAGCAGGTAGATAGAGACAGGGTAACTAAAATCCAGTATTATAGTAGGCTCACTGAATCAATACTATTCCAGGACTTGGAGGTAGAATCCCATGCCCTCTTGCCCGCCCAGAATGAGCAGGTAGGTAGAGACAGGGTAACTAAAATCCAGTACTGTTTTATAGTAAGCTCACTGAATCAGTAGGGATTTCCTGAGTCAACACCTATGTAAATTGCACTGATTCAGTGGTACTACTTGCAGCTTGCTACTGTACAGTATATGTTCTTATGTAGGCCACTAAAATCCAGTATTATAGTAGGCTCACTGAATCAATAGGGATTTGCTGAGTCAACACCTATGTAAACTGCACTGATTCAGTGGTACTACACGCAGCTTGCTACTGTATATGTTCTTATGTAGGCTTTGATTCTGTTCACATTAAGAGGGTTTTGTTCCAAAATTAAAATCTCTTTGGGAAAAGTTTCCTATTACTGTACTTCCTACGCCTTCCCCGATTTGCTGAGTCAACACCTATGTAAACTGCACTGATTCAGTGGTACTACACGCAGCTTGCTACTGTATATGTTCTTATGTAGGCTTTGATTCTGTTCACATTAAGAGGGTTTTGTTCCAAAATTAAAATCTCTTTGGGAAAAGTTTCCTATTACTGTACTTCCTACGCCTTCCCCTTGTGGGAATACCTACATACCAAGTCAAATCCTCCACAGATGGTAACAAGAGGGTTTTGTTCCAAAATTAAAATCTCAAGAGTTCTTTGGGAAAAGTTTCTTATTGCTTCCTACGTCTTCCCTTTGTGGGAATACCTACATACCAAGTCAAATCCTCCACTTACCAGATGGTAACTGTTAACAAGCTGCTGGGTCTAAGGCAAAGCTTGGGAGTTACTTTTTTGAACAACACCTAGAATTCCTCAGCCAGCATACTGGTAGCTTCTGGGAGATACAAAAAATTAGCGTTCAAGTTCAGCACTGCAAAGAAATGGGATTCAAGTCAACCAATTATCACCAATATGGTGAATTTTGGGATTGTGGCCCTGTAAAATCTAAACAATGAACCCTACAGGCTATACTGTAGCCATAACTCACCTCTTCCACTGAACCACAGACCTGCTACAATGCTTCTTTTTGTCTTTCATCCTCTCTAAGAATGCCCAGTAGTTTTGGCCCTGTAAAATCTAAACAATGAAACCTACAGGCTATACTGTAGCCATAACTCACCTCTTCCACTGAACCACAGACCTGCTACAATGCTTCTTTTTGTCTTTCATCCTCTCTAAGAATGCCCAATAGTTTTGCCTAGTATGGCTTCCCATACCATTGTTAGAAATAGGGAAGGGAGCAGAAGTTGATGTAATTGTTTTTCCTGTACAAAATTTAAAAATGTACAATAGGCTTCTAGGTCTGGGCCAACTACACTGAAATGTTTATTTATGTTTATTACAAATATACACTTCCTTTCCACTTACAAACTTATTAAAAATTAACAGACAAAACCACATTTAACAAAATAAAGAATAAAATCAAGTAACCAACCCCACTGTAAAACCATTATAATCAAGTAAATATATTAAAACCATGAAAATCAACAAATGATAGTTAAAAACAACACAGCACGACATATTAAATATATGCCAGTCTAAAACAGTTTTTTTAAAGTCTTCTTAAATCAGTCAGAGTGGAAATTGATCAGAATTCAGAGAAGAGAGTGCATTCCAGTCTGGGAGCCACACAGAAGGCCTTCTCTTGTGCTTGTTAGGAAGGCATCTGAAACTGTTGATATTTTAAAGCGGGCCTCTCCTGAAGATCTTAATGTTTGGACAGGCTCATAGGCAGACAAGTGATCCCTTAGGAACCTAGGCCCTAAGCCATTTAGGGCTTTAAAGTCAAAATCAACACCTTGCATTGGACCCACAGGCAACTGGCAACCAATGCAGGTTTTTCAGGGTCAAGGTCATGATAACAACCTAGCTGCTGCATGTTGCAGACTGAAGAACCCAAACGCTCTTCAAGAGTATCCCCACGTAATCATCTTAGAACTGCAGAGCTACCGTCGAAGGCACCCTATAGAACACTGAGTCCAGCCCTTATCAAGGAGGCACAGTAGGGAATCAAACTTCCAACCTCTGGCTCCACAGCCAGATACCTGACCTATCTAGCAGCTCCAGAGCATACTACAGTACAGTAATTTCACACACAATCTCACCCACCCACCCTCTTTTAAAGCTGAAGCCCAAGCTTTATAATTGTACTTGTACAAAACAAGGACCATTTCGATGAAAAGTGGTTTAGTGAAAATTTACTTATGCATTTTAGTGGGAAAAGATAGCTTGAAAATGCTCCTTCCTCTGTTCAAGGCTGCTTTTTCTACTCAGATAAATGGAGAGGTTCAAACATATGTGTTCACCAGTGAAATAGTTCCCTACTAAAGGTTCGGGAAGGAAAAGAGAGGGGAGATCCTACTGCATGTATGGTAGTCCACTTACTCAGCATGTCAACATACTGCATGATTATGTATTTGGGTACTGATGAAGGAATAAATTAACTCAGTATAACATTAGAACAATCACAAATTCAATTACAAGATAATGAAACAATGACTCTAGAATTTTAGGAAAAAGATAACTGATTTCGCAGTTTATTTTATAATAATTGGGATTAGTCTACAAGTTAAGGCAAACATACTAATGCATTTGCTTTTCTTTTGAAGTCCTATTATAAAGATTACATAAAGTTTGCTCCAAAATTTATAGGAAATGTTTGTTATTCGAAAAAAGTTAAGATGCTTGGTAACATTATGTGGAATAAACAATACAATGCTTCATATAGCAACAATATTCAAACACCTAGTGGCAATAATTAATTTGAAACAATCTGTTTCAAATCAACTTCAGAAATTACAAAGGTAGGAAAATAAGAGTGGGAGCAATATTTAATACTAGCTTTAAACAAAAACATAATTCTGTTGGCTGCTTTCACAAAGAGAAGACTCAAAATGCTTGGTTTTCTGAACAATAAGAGCATTCAGTGATTAAATAAACATATGACTATTTGTGTATAACAACAAATATGCTGTTGCTTCATATTATCTGGAATTACTCTGCTGGGGCTTATGCTTATTTAAGAAAAAAAAGAGGAGCTCGTTTATGTGTCCATTTTCAACCAATTCCTCCAGCAAGTTGTAAATGCCAGTTCAAAGTCATAAAGTAAACTCCAGTGGAAGGCAGCCCTTATTAATGGGAGGAATGATCCAGATTTATGTATCTCCATTTAACACTGCCAGACAGCTCTGCAACAGCTGTAAGTTACCCTGTAATAGCAAAAGAAACAAACAAACAAGTTAGTAACACTGCTTAGTATTCTATAGTTCCAATCTAAGGTATTAAATGACAATGCAAATTAGTATTGTTTGAGTTTGTTGTTGTTGCTACACGCTGTCAGGTTAGAAGTGACCCTAACAGGGATTTCAAGGTAAATATTTAAGGAATGCTTTTAGCTGTTCCACTCCCCAAGTCAGTTTCCATAGCTGAGTGGGGATTCGAACCCTGTTCTCTAGAGTCCTCACCTACACCACACTGAGAAGTCCATAAGTTAAATACCTACACAATATTGTCATGCAAATAGCCCTCACTTCTTTATCAAGCTTTTTTTAAATCAAAGAAAGCTTTGTAAAGCTGTACAAAGAACACTGAGATTTAGCACATGTTCTGAACCTTCATGAAGCATTTTCACAACTGTCTACAATTGATAATAACATGTTGAGCAGAGGCCAAGATCAAGGTAATTTTATTTCAGCTTGCAATCATTTCACACAACCCAAATCTTCACATCACATATCTGTCACAGCAAAAACCTCCCTCTGATACACTGTCCATTCTCCTGTCCAAAATCCAGTATTTGAAAACTCACAAAACATTAGAGCTGTACTAAGTACATCCTGTATACAATATGAAATATTATAGTTAAGAAATATTATAGATAATTCTAGTTGTCTTCAAGACAACTGGTCAAATCTGATGTGTCCCTCTTGACATAAATGTTTATATTCAAGCTCCAAATTGGAGCTGCCCTCTTCCATTATTAGAGTGGTGCTCCCTTGCATGTGTCTCTACAAAGCTGCACTAATAAACCAACTTAACATGATTCAGTAAAAGTGTATTTAATCTCATTATTAAATCACTCTGTAAACAGTTTACTAATGGAATTTTCTGTATCTGTTATCTGAATATTTATTAAAAATTAAGTGTGATTAGAATAATTCAGATTTGAATTGGAGAGGTAGTCCATTGGCAGAGCAGATGCTTTGCAAGTAGATGTCAGGGTTGATCCCTGACATCTCCAGGTAGGGCTAAAAAATACTAGGACCTGAAATGCTGGACACCACGACTAGTTACTATTGACAGTATGGGGCTCAAAGAATAAACGGGCTGACTTAGTATGTAGGAGTTTCATATTTCCTGATTCATGACTGCACTCTTAATTAAGACATAGTAATTATGCCATTATTTCATGTTGAGATTATCTACACCCTAAGTAGTGACAGTATCAGTGACTATGCTTTATTTCTTGGGCAGGAGGCAGAGTATCTCTTTTGCTAAACCAAGGATGGGCAAAATATAGCCCCCCCCCATGCACTCTTGGATTGTAACTCCCATCCTCCCTCACCATTAGCTATATTAGCTAGAGTTGCAAAGATCAGAATCCAACAGCATCTGAAAGGCCATGTGTCTTCCACTCCAGCATTAAGGCATGTTTTGCCATTCCTGGGTTCTAAAGTACAAAGTAGTTAAGCTGCCTGGAAAGTATTACCACCTTAGCATGTTTCAGTTCCAATTCTGCCAGTTCTACTAGATTCTTCCGGAATGCAGCAACTCTTCTAGTTTTAAAGTCTATTAGTTCTGCACAGAAGAAAGAAGATTGACATTCCATTTATGCAATGTAGAAGCTGATAAAAACAATTCTACCTATCCAATTGTACACAACTTACTGGGGTCTTGTACAAATGTAAAGCTGTTGATTGTTTTAATGATGCAATCCACAAGTCACATTATCTTTTGACCTTGAGTTGTGAAATCCAATAGGTTTAAAATATCAAACCATTACTTTAGGTGATTAGTTAGTACAGCCTTTCTGTCTCAGTGCCCCCCAAATGTTTTAAACATACTCCCAACAATGTCCATGCTATAAACCAAAATATCCAAAGTACCAGATTACTGGATCAGTTTGTAAATTTTTTAATATGACAACAGTTTTTTTTAGTTCTCATACATTTGAAGTCTTCAACAAATTTAGATATTTTAAGATTAGAAACTACTTTGCATTTTAATTTTTAACTTAATGAGATTACCTTTGGCACTCACAACTGACCACCATCCTTCAGTGTGAACGGACAGTTGATGTTTGCTTTTCAGAGGATTGAAAAGGACACCACTGATTTCAGTACCATTCTAAGAGCTTTGATACTGATGATTGTGCCAGCACTGTAACTGTTTACTTTAAAAAGATCAGCCATGGCTTCATACCTTTACAAAATTAGAAACAGAAGCATTTTCTTATAGTTGTGTGCCAATGCAGTTTTAAAGGAACTTCTAATAAAACCAACATTTGTTCTAATTCAAGTATACATGAAAGTGTAAAATAAGTTGCTTAAGAAATACATATAAGTTAAATCTACCAAACGACAAAACTGATCAAATACCTTGTTTTGCTGATTCAGATATTTTTTCAAATTTCTGACAGCAAATCTGCTGAGTAGTTTCAGCTTGCAACACATCTTTGTTCTTTGCTCTTGCTTTGTCTAGCGCTTTGTTTGCATTTTCATAATCCACTAATGACCTTGATCTCCTATAAAGAAGGTCCTACAGTAAATAAATAAATAATAAAATTTACAAGTCAATTCATTAACTTGGGAACGGAATGCTTTCAAAGATGGTTTAGTGCTATTCAGAATCAGGTTATTTTTGTTCCTCTTCAGTGACAGTATTATTGTTTGCAATTCCAAAGAAGTGTTCCTTGTGAGACAGGTCCTTCCTAACATGAGACAGATGGGCTCATCAGTTTAGGAGAAACTAAAAGAGAAAAGAAGAAACTACTTGTATTCCTTTTGGGAAGACAGGCGGGATAGAAATAAAGTAAAAGAATAAAGGAAGGAAGTAAATGACTAGTTTTTCTTTAAAAAAGAATAGCTGGGGTATAAGATTCCTTCTGTTTATAGAAGAGGCTTTTTTCCCCTGATGGCTGAATGCTGCATTCCAGACAGTCAAGACACCTTCTGGAATGGGGATGTGGATGTATGTGGGACTAAGCTAGAGGTGAGGTTCAGTTATCCCACGTATGCAGAGCAGTATGGGGACCCGATTTTTTTTAAAGTAGGATTTTTTTGTGTGTGCTTCTCCAAAGAAGCAATGTTTCAGTAGATTTATAAATTGCAAGAGGTACAAACCATTCAGTGTATGTTCTTTCCAGAGGATACATTCAGCATTAGTCCTACTAGAATACAACGAATGAAATCAATGGCCCTCAAGGTAGTAAAAAGTAAAAAGTTCTATTCTTTTTAGTGGGTCTGTCCTAGGTAGCACCAATCCTGGATTAAGCCCTAGCTAAAGTATAGGAAGTAATTTTTACTTGTTTTCAATTATTTACTAATATTTTATTTTATGTTACTTTATGTTTATAGCCTTCCTTTTAATCTTGAAATTCCAAAGCCAATAATCTGTTACTGTTATCACTATAATATTTTACAGCTTTTTATTATTGCTTTGTCATTATCTGATAATAGAAATATTTTAATAGAAACAAAAATGTACATCTAGTTGGATAATTACTTTAGATTCCTTCAAAATGTCTCATATTAAAACATCTAAAATTAAAAAAATAGATTTACCTTTGCAGCTTGTGATTCTCTTAGATAGTATTTTAGAAGATCTGAAAGCTTAAGATCCTCATCAGCAGACACACGTGCTTCTATTTTCTAGGTCAGAAAAAAAAAACATTTACCGTAAAACAACCAGAAAATCATTTCATGTGCTCTAGTCATCATGTGTCTCCACTTTAAATATCTGTTATATACTGGAACAAGATACAATAAACTTCAAGTGTGCTTTGAAAAGCATGGCAGGAAACTAAAGTAATTTCCATGTGTGCACAAAAGAAAAGATACCTAGTTAATTTTAAAAAAACAAGATATGTCAAACAACTAAAACCTACTTTCTCACTAAATGGCAGAGTCTGTGCTGCAAAGAATTGTAAAGCCGATGTGGCACAATGAGAAAATATTGCAACAATACAAGAAATCAGAAAGGATGATTGACACTATAAATGCTATATGCATAGTAGAATCAGATTAAAGGATTTCCAATGGAAGGTGACACAGTTCCACTGTGGTCTACATCAATGGTCCCCAAAATTTTCCAAACCGGTTGGGGGGACAGGGTCTGCGCATGGGGGGGCACTCATGCGTGCGGGTGGCTGTGCGTGCAGGTGGGCAGGACATCTGTCTCTGTGGCCCGGCCCTGCCAAGGCCACAGACTGGCACTGGCCCGCAAACCAGGGCTTGGGGACCCCTGGTCTACATGATCTGGCAACATATTACTATGCATTCATCAGAGATACAATCCGAAGATTTATATTAAGGGATGGATCCCGATTAACTGTGCTGAAGCTGTGCTTCACTGAAATCAGTGGGGCAAGTTACTTATGATTTAGATTTAAGTTCCACTGAGTTCAACAAGACTAATATTCAACTAAATAAGTACAGGACCCATGGTATATCTTGAACTCATACATTTTACCTCTTTCCTCATTTTTGAACACTTCCATTTAAAAAATATATTTCCCTATTTCTGTATATTTGTGCAACCAGCACACGCAGCACATAAAGGGAAACGGAGATCAAAGAGCTCTTTCCGATGCCCCTTTTCGCTCCTGTAAAAGTGTCTTAAACTGTTTGAAGCCTGTTTTAAATGCTTGCAATCGTTAGCCCACCTCCTGAACCCTATGCAAACTTAATTTGGTGTTGTTCTGAGTCTTCGTTAATTTTTGGTGATTTTTTGTTTTCTCCATTGAAAGCCATTGAATGGTCTGTCTAATGGCTTTCAATGGAGAAAACAAAAAATCACCAAAAATTAACGCCGACTCAGAACAACACCAAATTAAGTTTGCATAGGGTTCAGGAGGTGGGCTAACGATTGCAAGCATTTAAAACAGGCTTCAAACAGTTTAAGGCACTTTTAAATGAGGGAAAAGAGACATCTGAATGCCATTCAAATGCATTGAGTCGGCTTCAATATATTTGAATGGAGGAAACATTGTTTCACTCAACGATATTTCCTATGGGGATTTTCGCTCAAGGACGGCAATCCGTTCCAATTGGAAAGGGATTAACCGGTCTTCAATGCATTTCTATGGGAAATGGTGTTTCACAGAACACACGACGTTGATTGTTTTGGAACCAATTAACATCGTTGTGTGAGGCACCACTGTATATCTACCAGTAGTGCATGGGCTTTAAAGTCAGGTAACTGTGTCCAAAAATTAGGAACAATATGCCAGACAATTTTAATACTTTTTTTCACAATACATACCCTTGTTTTGTCAAACAACTCCGATACTTTCAGGAAAAATCTGTTAAAAGAAATCAGATATAATGGATGGATTTTAATTCATACCTGTGCTCTAGAACAAAATATTTATAGAGTAAAGATCAGTCTATTCAAAAAGCAAATTGTCTCAACATTTACTTATTTTGTACATTTATATCCCACCTTTTCTCCAAAGAAAATCCAAATTATGTGCACTGTTCTCTCCCTCTCCTAATTTCACCCTTAGAAGATTTCTAAGAGGATGGTTCAGCTGATGGTAATTAACCTAATGAACATTATATCTGAAGGAAGATATTAACCTGCTCTGCCCAGTCTTACTCTAAGTATTAGGCAATGCTGACTCTCTAGTATATGTAAAAAGGCAGAATATTAACAGAAGGATGCAGCAGCAGCTTTTTTTATTACTCTTTTCTGATTTCTATAGTATATTGCAATCCTGGTTCTTATTTAGCATTGGCTTTCCTTTTTATTATGTCTTTAAGTCCTTGACCAGCTAGGTTTTTCTCTACATACTTGTCAATTCCTCTGGCTACCAGCACTTTGCCCAAAACAAAGTTTTTCTTCCATCTGCAACAAAATCAGATCCCCATCTAATTCGATACATCTCTATTTGTACTTCATTACATAGCTCCTTGCATCAATTTCACACAACTAATACCCAAATTGTACAGGAGGCCACGCGCATGACCAAGCCATATGCCGTATACTGTTGCTAACATAGTCTAAGAACAGGTAAACAAATCATTATGAAGTTGTGAGCACAGAAACATGTGGCTAGAACTGCATCCAGAAAAGTAGTAGATTAAGAAACTTTACTCTGAAATATGTCTTGTTAATGTAGACAACATAAGAAGCAGAGAGCTTTTCATTGATAAGCTAATACAACCACGCCCATCTCTTCATTTTATTACAGATAAATCTAAAAATGAGTCAGGTTCAATATCAGTTAAAAAATAAAGACTACAGAAACAGTGCTACAAAAGCCTTTTTTTAGTTCAGGTAGGTGACAGATTTGCATTATTTGGTCTTTCTATCTTAATAGATTTAGGACATGAAAACGTTTTGCTACTTTGATTTACTGAGCATGAAAAAAATGAAGTTTAGAGGCTTAGAATTTTGAACTTTAACATCAATGAACAATGAATAGAGTTCTCTTCTGATGCAAGTTTGCACAAAAACTCATCGTTTCGTTCATTTAGTTGTTTAGTCGTGACCGACTCTTCGTGACCCTATGGACCAGAGCACGCCAGGCCCTCCTGTCTTCCACTGCCTCCCGGAGTTGTGTCAAATTCATGTTGGTTGCTTCGATTACACTGTCCAACCATCTCATCCTCAGTCGTCCCCTTCTCCTCTTGCCCTCACACTTTCCTACCATCAAGGTTTTTTCTAAGGAGTCTTCTCTTCTCATGAGATGGCCAAAGTACTGGAGCCTCAGCTTCAGGATCTGTCCTTCCCGTGAGCACTCAGGGTTGATTTCCTTTAGAACTGATAGGTTTGTTCTCCTTGCAGTCCAGGGGATTCTTAGGAGCCTCCTCCAGCACGACAAAAACTCATACAGGTCAGTTATTTGATTTGTAACATAAAGGGCTTGGTGGTCACTATTTGTATTTGTGTGTTATTGAAGAAAGTGTTCTGTTTGCACTCTAAAGAAGTGGGAATGATCCATTTGCTGAAGAGAAGGTGGAGTTTATGAGTAGACTCTTAAATTGTTAGCAGCCAGATACATTTCCAGTTTATGCCTAGTTCCATTTTGCAGATAAAAGAGGACTCTGATTTTGGCTTGCAGCAGATCAGATTCTCATGCCTATGTGCTTGCTTTTGGGAAGTCTATACAAGTTCCAATAAAAGCTTGAACTAAAGTATAAAACTAGGTGGAGCCCCCCTGACATGCAGGAAACAACTGCTCACACTTTTAAGGAAAAGGCAAAGCCCCGATGCCAACAATCTTGTCATAAACAAGATTTCAGTAACATCCTGACCTTATAATATCAAACTATTAATAACTGCACCAACTGACTTTAATAATGCTTTTTTCTGGATAAATTAAACCCTAGAACATTCTGCATCAATATTCTGCTGCATTAAATGACAAGAACACATTAATGTAACTCATTCATAAGTAAAGTATCACTGATACTATGAAAGATAGCATCAAATGTGTGCAGAAATCTTTGCATTATTCTTTAATTTTCTGAAAAATCTTACTTGCATATATCTGTGGAGTCCTGTGTTCCCAGTGTATATAATGAAGAACCAATTCTATTGCAGTCATCGGCAACATCTGAAAAAGGGAAAAAACCCTTCAGACTCCATTTCTTCTTTTGTGCCTTAAGACAATAAAACCCCCAACTCTTTAAGTTAATAAGCATTTTCTGCATCCCTTCGTCCAAGTCATTAATAGAAATGCTGAAGAGCACTGGGCCCTGAATGGAGCCTTGGAGTACCCCACTTGTTATCTCTTGCCATTTTGAGAAGTACTCTCTTTGACTGTAACCAACTGTGTATCTACTTGACAGTTGTTCTATCCAGCCCAGATCTAGTTGGTTTGCTAATCAGAACATCATGCGGTACTTTGTCAAAGGCTTTGCTGAAGTCAAGATATACTATGTATTCCATAAATATGAGGATATTCATACAATGGTGCTTTGACTTATGAACGATCCAATGTACGAACATTTTCACTTACAAACAGCTCCATTCGCAAAATTTTGCTTTGAATTGCAAATGGAGCTTTGATTTACGAACAAAAAAACACGGAGAAAGTGGGAAATGGACTTTGGACTGCCTGGTACTGTAATTTTAAAATGTAAAAGTTGGTTTAAAGGGTGCTTGGTTTGGTTTAAAGCTGCTTGGTTATAAAGGTGTTCTGTTTAAAAGATGTTTGTTCCCTCCCTCTCGCCTTTCCTGCCCTTTTTAACCTAAGTCAGGAGGACAAGGCTCCCGGCACAACTGCTGAGTGGCCAGCCAAGCAGGGAGATGGCAGAGCTTTTTCCACCACTGGCGGAAAGAGTGGGACAATGGTAGTGCTGGGACAAGAGAGGATGGGCCAGTTCCGAGGGCCAGATTCACTTTAGGTGCAGCTGAGACAGGGATGTTTGTATTCGTTTACAAATACAAATATACCCATCTCTAGTCTACAACATTCCGCCGTCTAGCAGGGAGGTTAGTTGATCAAAAAATTAGTTAAGATCACTCTGGCAAGATTTGTTCAAAGGCACAAAAATAAACATTGCATATATTTTGCAGGTCACCACCACAGAATTGTCTCTTCCCTCCATGATCTCCATTACCTTTTTACTTTCTTCTGTTTGTCTATGAGTGCCTTTTGCTTTGTCTTCGTTGTCTTGAAGGATGCTAGGAAAGTTCACTAATATATAACTCTCTGCCTATCTCCTTGGTCTCCCCTTTCTTTTGTCTCTTCCTCCACTAGACCTTTTCCTTACTAATACTCCCCTGTTAAACTCCTGGTCGCTTACTCCTTCGGGTCCATCTCAGTTTTGTTCCTCTGCTGTGTTCTGTTAGGAGTCAGCAAACAGAAAACAGTCCCAGCTGCTATTTCATGAGACCTATACTACAGTTATTTTTATGATAGCTGAAGGACTGCAAATCATCATAATAGAAGATGCAGAACTTTATTAAGTTTCTGTTATCTAGATTCTCCACATTATCAAATATACTACTGAGGTGTTCATCCTAATATCATGAAATTTGCAGAAAAGTGCATCATCTGGTTGTTGGCGATCCCACCATTTAAAAAATCTTAATTTTTCTGTAATTTTCTAGTTTGCCAGTAAAAAAGTGCTGGTCGTGGTTGTGCAACAATTACAGGAAATAAGAGACTTATTTCTCATCTACTTAATTCCTATCTCTGCCCTTATTCTAATACTTTTAATTCTAAGACAAATGTTCCAAATTTAATGAACTCTAGAAAAACATTATCAATGTCTAACCTCCAAATTATACATTAAGCAGGCTTTTGCAAGTCTTTGCATCACTTATGCCAAAGTCCAGAATTGGATTTCTTTAAAATGGACTGCCAAAAGCTTCTGCTTGGATCAAAAAACAAACTTACTTTTGTGGGATCTTGTCATTTTATCAGACTTGATAGAGGAATCCTTGACACGATTGTGATATTCTACAAGGAATGTTCTTTCATGTTCAAAAAAGTCATCTACATCCTGAATGGCAACAGAAAAGTAAAAAACCAAATCATTTTCCAGAAATTCAGTTAATTTATTTATTTGATTTATATCCCACCCATCTGGTATATTTAACCATTGATATCCTTGTTCCAGGCAAATTGCAATTACCTCCAATGAGCAAACAAGGAAAGTCCAGGACCCAGGGTGGATTTGATTTAAATTTTAAAAACTCAGATTTTTTAATGATTTAAATTTTTAAAAAATGATTTTTTAAAAATTAAATTGTGATTTAAATAAATTTGATTTTTTTAAATCACTGATTTTTATCCACCCTGCCAGGACTGAAAAAGCAATAACAAGGCCTTCCGTGAAGCTACCTGTATTGCACCCAAGGCCTTAAAAGTATGAGGGGTATAACAAAATACGTTGCATTCTAGACCATAATAGTACTGGGGAGCAGAATAAGAAAGTGTGCTTCAAAAGGCTACACAAAAACTAATGATCTAAAATATTTCTATGCCACTCTATGGAAGTGTATAAAAAACCAGGAGTACCAAACTGATACCCTACCTCAAGCAATAAAACCAATACTAACCAATACAAATAAGGTGTTAAAATCAGTAGGCATGCTGACAATCATGGATGACCCAGAAAGTCAGGAAAAGCACCTAGAAAGTCATCGTTAGGGTATTCCACCTAACGGATATAAGACTAGAAAAGGCTTCTCTCTAGAAGGTAAAGAGGAGGCAGACATGAGGAAAAGCTTCCAAAAATCATCTTTACTATTTGGACATATGGAATCAGTGGCCAATGAAAAGTAGGCAACAGGTTTCTCTTCATGTTTACTAGAACACAAGAGGAACAGCAGAAGCAATTAAAAACTGTAAAACTTTTAGTAAATTTAGTAAATGTTGCTTCAAATTTTGATGTAAGAACATTAGAGCACAGAAGCCACCAGATATGAAACCCACTCATCTGGAGTTGCCACTCCACCTTGCCACTGGGCAACAAAGACATTCAGTGGTGTTGTGGAAATAATTCCAGAAAAGGGATTCTCCTTGAAAACACAAATGCAAGAATAGGTGATACTTTTACAGACCACTTAAAAATAATCATACATTAAGCAAACTTTCATGGATTAAACACCAGTGGGCTTGTACCAGTGTCAGGAAGTTAAAGTCCAAAAGTTCACAGCAAGATGGATTTTGCCATGGAAGTTACTTTTACATGTGAAGTCCAAAAGTCCTTGGCAAAATGGATTTCACAAGACATGTCTTTCTTAAATGTAAATCAGGAGAGGTATAGTTGTAAGGTTACAACTGAGGGTAGCTGTGGACTGGATGTCACACCCTGGTTCTTCAAACAAAGGAGTACAGGGTTCTCTTTTAAAACAAGGAGCCTGCTTCCCAAATTGGGGAGGTTTTCATAAATCCACATGGGAATGGTCAAACTGGGGCTTCTATACAGCCCATGTGCCTTCTGTTTGCCCACCCAAATTCAAGGCTTAGAAAGGGAGATCATATGAAGAAAAGCTGGGAAGCAGAGATATGTGTCTAAGCTTGGCCTCCTACAGCTCTCTAGAAAATAAATGCAAATGCAAAAGCCAGCCTGAAATTTCTACAACCTGAAGACAAATTAGGTGTGCATTCCCTCAGGAAATCTACAGAAATCCAGCACTGACGGGAGGGGGATACCTCTGTAGCAATTCCCACTCCAGCCTTCATATTTGAGCATGTTGCAATTGCAGGGGGCTGCAGATTGCAGCCCGCCTGCATATGGTGATATTTTAGAAAGTACTCTTACATGGAATATGTAAATGCAAACTATTTTGCTGGTATCCTTTCATGGTCTCACCAACAAAAGTGTAGCAGATGAACAGATGAGGTAGTAAATACATTATTTAAAATAGCTTAATAATCACCTTTACTCCTGAAACAATGACACCATCTGCAGACTTAACCATATTTTTAAAGAAGTCTTCAAGTTTTTCTTTCTTATTTTTTCCACGGACACTCAACTGAAATACAAAAACACACAATTTCAGATTATTTTCTTTACAGTCAGAAACATCTAATTCTATTTTATCAACCCAGATGCCAGAAACCATAACTAAAAACCTACCTACCTACAACATCAGTTACATTTCTGTTTGTTTATTTATTGTAAGAGATCTGTGTTACTTAACTACAAGCCATCACAGCCCTAAGCTCCTAAATTTTGATACCAAACAATGAATTTTCATACATGTTTCTTCAGTATTTTCCCATCTATTGTAATATTGTATTATCTTGGATCAGCTTTATGTTTTTATGTTATAGTAGAGCCTGAACTATCTCTGGGGGCAAAAAGGACTCAACTGAGGCTGTCATACTTTAGGCACACTATGAGAACACAAGATTTTATAGAGAAGACAATAATGCTGGAAAAAGTTGAAGACAGCAGAAAAAGAAGACCAATTACGAGATAGACTGTCTCCTTAAAGGAAGCATATACAGTGGCGCCCCACAAGACGATTACGGAATTACAGGACGAAAAACTCGCTGGACGATTGGGTCCGGCGAGGGTTTTGGTGCCTCACAAGATGATGAAAGTGATGCTTTGCTGGGGGCGGGGGCGGTGTGTGTGTGCTCTTCTCCACTCCCACGCCCCTTCCTGCTTCACAGCTGATCGGCACAGGGTGTCAGAGGCTTCTCCTGGCTTTCCCAGCAAGTAAACAGGCAGTGGATATGCACCGGGGAAGCCTCTGAAGCAGCGCTATGCCAGGGTGAGGGTGGGTGGGTGATTTGGCAGGCCCGCCACCCCCCGCAAAGAGCCGCGGGGCTTCCCGGGGGGCAGGGGGAAAGCACAATTTTTTTATTCCCAGCTCTTTTACGGGGCTGGGCAAGCCTGGGGAAGCCTCTAAGACCCAGCGCCGATCAGCTGTGAGGCGGGGAGAGGCTGGAGTGGAGAAGAGCAGAAAATGGCTGCCGGCTCTGGCTCTGAGCTATTTGGCGCTCTTTTTCCTGCTGTTCTGAGGCTACCAAGGCAGTGTTAGGAGCCCGGCTCAGTCTACAGGTAAGTGATTTATTTTATTTATTTATTTTTTGTTTTGGACTTTTCCCATAAGAACGCATTAATTAAATTTCAGTGCATTCCTATGGAAAACCGTGCCTCGCAAGATGACATTTTCGCTGGAACAGATTAATGTCGTCTTGGGAGGCACCACTGTACTGAAATTTATTTTTCTTTGTTGCCCAGTCCCCCATCTATCCATCCATCCATCCACCCACCCACCTACTGCTCCATTAGTGCAAAGCACTATTTTGGGCACTGTACATGTAAACACCTGAACCAAAAAATCCATAATAATCAAACATAATAACTAGCAAAAACAGACAAGGTGTTATGCCTAGATGGCACAGTAATACTTTGCAGAGATTGTTTTACAGTTCTTCACAGTCCCCTTGGGCTAACTTAAATATTTCCACTGAAGCTTGCAAACTTCTCTGGTTCACTGCTCACCTCCAACACCAAATTATTTATGAATGACTTGAACAGCAATCATTGGTGTGTATCCTTGAAAGATACAACTCCTTACTTCTCTGCATCAGAGGAACTGCCCGTTTTCTCCTACACTTTGTCTCCTGCTCTTTAACTAGTTTCTGATTCATTAGAGTGCATTTTCTTGTTATTTCATTACTTAGTTTAGTCTTTGACAAGAAACTTAGTCAAGAGCTTTTTTAAACCAACTCTTGTGTTTTTCAGGTGGCATCCCACAGTGCTCTTCCTTCAGCAAACAGAAAATGCTGGAAGATATGGTCATCCTACCTATCCTACTGCAGCCTGCAATACCTATTTCATAACACTGTGAGAAGGAAACTACAATCTTTTGTTACATTAGCAAATATATGCTTGCATAAAAGTGGATTTAGCCAAATTTCTACACATCACCCAGTTTGCAGTCTCCAAAACTAGGTCTGACACCAGATGCTTGCAACAGCATGGTTTTTCTGTTACTTTATTTGTTCTTCTGTATACCTAGATTCTATCTTTACAGAGCCAAGGGACGTGGTGGCGCTGTGGGCTAAACCGCAGAAGCCTGTGCTGCAGGGTCAGAAGACCAAGCAGTCGTAAGATCGAATCCACGCGACAGAGTGAGCTCCCGTCACTTGTCCCAGCCCCCGCCAACCTAGCGGTTCGAAAGCATGCAAATGCAAGTAGATAAATAGGAACCACTTCGGTGGGAAGGGAACAGCGGTCTGTGTCTAAATTGCACTGGCCATGTGACCACGGAAGATTGTCTTCGGACAAACGCTGGCTCTATGGCTTGGAAACGGGGATGAGGACCACCCCCTAGAGGCAAACACGACTGGACAAAAATTGTCAAGGGGAACCTTTACCTTTACCTTATCTTTACAGATGTTTCCCTCTAATGCACTGGTTTGCCCATACAGAAATAAGTATATTTCTAAAGAAAGATGGCTTTTTGCAGCTTATAACCAAATATGTTTCATGCAAAAAAAGAATGATACTTCAGGAATAAAACATTACATATACTATTTTATAATATTCAGAATCTTTTTTTACTTTGTGGATATGCACAGGTTGACATACCAGTACTTACATCTTGATTATATTCCAAGAACACATGAAAATTTAAATCCTTTCGCAAAATGGGATGAGCTGCTACACGACACAAGAAGACTTCATGCATGGCTACTGTCTTCTTGAAGATTGCCAAATACTCACTAGAGAAAAAGGAAAACAGAGCTATGTACTTCTATTATCTTCACATGAAGAGCAAGACATTTTGACTCAAAGATCACAAAAAAGAAGGACATTAGAGTTCAATGCAGTGTACTGAATTGATTACCAATTATTCTATTTTTGACCTTAATATTAGATCACAATGCTGCAGTTAAAAGGCTTAACACACCTGGCAAAATTCCCTTTTCAGACAGATTCTAAACCTAACCACCCCATATTCCTGACTCACAGCCCCCACAATTGAAATATGCCTTCCTTGCTTCTTTCGTTCTTGGCAAGACCGTATACTCCTGTTAGTATTTTATGATCGAGCCTTTCCTTCAACGTCCTGTCTCCAATACCTATTGTTTGATGAATTTCCCACTTTTTATTCTATTGCCTATTTTGTTCTATTTCATTTAGCTATTGCATTTATTTCTCCCACCATTGCACAACATAGGTCCCTTCCTGTTCTCAGACCATTCAAAAATTTCAAAGCCCCCTGATCAGCTGTTTGCTATTTCAGTTCAAATTGTCCTTAAATTTTCTGCTGTAAGGATTTCCTCATTGAGTGACTTCAATTCCAAATAACTAATGGATGACTGCTCATATAGACTTTGTACAATAGAAATTACTATGAAATGACTAGGAAGTATTGAAGAACTGAAAGCACAGCAAACATGTACATACGCCTCTAGCTCTTGCTTCATCTTGGTGAATTCCTCTTTAGTCATTGATCCTTCTCCTTCACCAAGCTTTTGCAATTTCTCTCTTGAGGCATCAAAATCAGGCCTGGGTGGTGCTGGTGGAATCTGGAGCGTGAGTCAATCAGAGTGTAATTTTGACCTCATCCCTTTCAACTACTTTACAGTAAAGCGCTTAAGAACACAGATACACTCTTTTCTTTATGCTATATTATCTAGGGATAAATGTTACCTCATAAAAGATTCAGTTGTGCATAGTGCTCCAATGAATCATTTCATGGCACCATATTGTAAGATTCAGTGTTCCTATATTGTGGTTAAAGGGCTTTTGAATTACATCTCCCAGCGTTTAACACCCCCAAAAAGCACTCACAGCTTAATGATTTTTTTAAAAAACAGTTATTATTCTGGGCAAAAGGAAAATAATACTAACTGGGGTTCAGGTAACTCCAAGAAATGTCCTTTATATTTTAAAGCCTAATCACTGACTAAGATAGAATAATTACAACACAAAATGATGAATCAAACTTTTATATAAATGCCATACCTAGCTACCCTGTTTCCCTGAAAATAACCTGAAAATAAACCCTAGTATGATGTTTTAGGATGCTCGTAATATAGGCCCTACCCCAAAAATAAGCCCTAGTTAAGTGAAAGCCAACCCTCCACCACTGTGCAGCAACCAGAAGATGACATAATAAACGTAGATTGTAGTACATGAAAAAAATAAAACATCCCATGAAAAGAAGCCCTCCTGCTTTTTTGGAGCAAAAATTAATATAGTCTTATTTTCGGGAAACACGGTAATATTTGAAGTAACCAACATACAGTACTTTTCTACAAGTAAAGTAGAAATGGAATGTGCTATATTGTATCAAACAAAGATGATTTTTTTTTTACTGTGTAGCACCATAATACTGGTCAAATTCTAGGCTAAATATGATATTCAGCTCCTTCCATGATATAAGCCAAATATCAGGAGAGAAGATACTAACAATGCCACAATGGCATTGTTTTTGGAAAGGAATTTTCTTAAGCAAGAATTTTTGAGGAAAGATGAAGCCATCAACATTCCATTAAAACTTTCAATAGTACATAAGAGACATGAGAAACAAGATTTGGTGAATCCAGCAACATATGATCCAAATATTATTTATACTATACACCTGTAGCTTTGCTGGGACTCACATACGGATTAGAAACTGGAGAAACTCATAAAGAAATTCCCTCTGCATTTCTAGTAAGGCATCCTCCCTGAGACAGGATTAAGGGTCTCTCATCCAACTGCAATATTGTGATTGCTGGCTTTTGTTCCCAGCAGCAAACAAGCCAATGAGATCCATTCCTCCAGGCTTGCTTTGTAAAGCCTAGCCCTAGACAAGGCTGACAAGAATCAACAACATGTCTCTGCCCCAGGCAGTGCAAACACTGGGAACCATCTGATTGTGGGACAAATTTCCTGCCATCTAGCCACTGTTTTCTGGGTTTGCTTGTTTTCTGAAAAGAGGACTTGGATGCTACAAACATCTAAGACATTACAACAGTATCCAAAGCTAAACCAAGATGAGTAAAAAAAACATATATAATGAGACCAAGAAAGAATGTAGCCAAAGAAAAACTACAGAATTCCTCAGCAAGCTAAACACAGACAAGGTACATGTTCCTAATGCTATGAAAAGGAATTGTGCTGCAGCAGTGAGGTTGACGCCATTTGTGTGTGGGGACAGGTCAGCTCAGAAGCAGATCTCTCCAAACTAGCTCTGTTCAGGTACAGAACCACCAAATATGAGTCAGAAAGGTCACAAACAGCATCACAAAAGATCACAACAGATGCAATTAGCATCTCCAGTAGTCACATCTTTTGCCTTATAGTTAGTTTTTTTTTTTAAAAAATAAACACTTACAATGTAGCCTGCATAGTCTTCATTCTCAACAAAGGAATCATGGAGCCAGATAAATTCTTCATGTTGTCGGACAACTGAAAATTCATTTTGTTTAAAATTTGGTAAGGAACTCTGAAAAACAGAATCAAAGTATAAATAAATCACACTGAAAGTTTTCCACCTAGTTTTACTACCAAAAAAGTTTATAAATGACACAGAATATTAAACAAGAAAAAAATGAAGACATCTCTTTGGAGGAGGGGGAGAGAGGGGGGGATTTCGTTGATATAGACTGCCAAACAACCTTCCCATTTTCATATAAAGGAAATCCTTTCCTAATACAACTTAATTTTTTAAGATGTACGCTGCCCCAATTTTAAGTCTTATTCCCAATTTTTAATAGGTTGTGCTTAAAATAAAAATTTTAAGTAATTATAAAGTATCTAGATACCAAGCTGGATTTACCTTTGTATGGACAGTGAATTTGACTTTGTCTCTCTCACTAAGAGCATCTGAAATGTCCACTTGCAAGGCAGCATCCGTTTGCAGATCTACAGTAACCGCTCTAAGCTAAAGAGAAACTTAGTTTTATTAAAGTCACAAAATGAGATTATCAGCTCAAATGCCAATTTTGCATATGTGCTATAATCTAAAAATACTACAGCAACAAACACAATTATAACTCATAAGCCACCAGGGATCAACTAAATACAAGCACAGACATTTTGAAATGATTTCTTAGCTTTAGCAAGTGTATATCTAAAATGCAATCTTGTTAAAAATGCCATCTAAAGCCCCAAACTACAATTTCTTTTCTCTGTCTTCTGCTACACATGTACTGTAGCTGAAAAATGTTTTGATTAGAACAGGTGTTTAGCATTTCTTGATAACTTCAGCTCGTTTTCAGCTTTTGCCTCCCTAATCTGTGATTCTTTGCTATATGTTTGTACTCTTCCTTTGTGATAATCTCATGATAGGCCTTAAGGAGAATGGCAAAATGTATTTTATTCATCTACCTGCTTTTAATTAGTTTGGTGGTGGCTCATTTAAGCAAGATGGCAAGAATATAAACTACCTGACTGTGCAGAATTTCAACAACTGAGTTGCTGATTTCCAATACATATTTCTGGATAATGTGACCTGACTTGTATGCTGTGTATTCACCTTCTTTCAATTAGATTACATTAACCTTCTACTATATTTCAGAGCACTTTACAATAACACACAGTACAATATACACATCACAGCCTCAATAACACTGGTGGCTAAAATATTAACAGTTTAGGCACAAGCCTTCCTGTGAAGGCATTTCTCTCACTGGAACACCACAATCCTCTCCACAAGGTCATAAACTACATTTAATACAAAACTTGCTGTAACATCAGGATTTTATTTCCTTCCTCCTGCAGCCATCCAGTATTGAAAACCATTCAAAAGGCTGGAGCAGGTTTTTTCAACATTGCAGAAGGGAGGGAGAATCACCTCCTCCCACTAGATACTAACTCACTTTAAGGCTAAATATTACTTAAATTGCTAGATATTTGCAGTGTTTTCTGTTATTTGCATGAGCCCTTTTTGGCTGGTTGATGAGATAAGCAAACAAACAAAGATCTGAAACAAACTGTAGAACAGGTATGTTAGTTAGTGTCATCATGTTTTTCCTTTGTAACTGCATCTCCTGCATTTGAAAATAATCCACTAAGAGAGCACACGTTTCTTATACACATTTCTAGCGTAGAAACACACCTAGCTGTTTGAATAGATATCTTATTCATGTACTGTATACATAATTGCATTTTTATGATGAAGATTCCACCTAAGGAACTTTAAAAGAGAAATTCAATATTTAATACAATGCAGACTAGAAGTGCAATGGGACAAACAGTTTGGGCGGAAGGAGGAACAGAGTACTGTACTGTATTATCCTTCCTAGGTGCTTGGCTGTACAGCAACAGTGGACAATCACAGCTCTCTGGATGTTTGTGGGAACTGCATCTCTCATCACCCCTAACCAGAAAACCCAATGGCTTCAGTTAAAAAATATGGAAAGCCATATTTGCTGATCCTATTGTAAATTATACATGCCCAGAGGACCTCATAAAAGAGAAACGGCATTCTATTTACTGCACAGTAATCTCCCCACTGCAATATAAATATTTTTAAAGCATTTGTTTAGATGTTTGTCTCAGTAGCTCCACAGAAGAAGAAAAATCTATATACAGATTGGTGTTTTACTGCTAAATATTTGTGTTAGGTTCCTTGGTTTATTCACATCATATATGAGCAAAGTGTGGCTAGATGGTGGCAGAGTGCAACTTTCTACAATCCTCCTCACTGCTTATTCTGGCTGGGGCTTTTGGGAGTTGTAGTGTAACAACAATGGATTGCACTTTGACCACACCAATTTATATTCTTTCAAATGTCTTTGATTTTGTTAGGCCAGAATAGGATTAAGTTTTTAAATTATTTAAATATTTATACAATTCCTGAACAATGGTGCAACTCTACCCACCCAAATGTTAAACTGAAAACTATTTACTACATTTCATTCAGACACTACATCTTTGTTACACTGTTTTGTATGCCTCCTTTTTAAAAAAATGCTACAATCATAATAATTATGTGGTGTCATCAATTCTGACTTATGGTGACCCTTTTTGTTGTATTTATTTTCCTTTCTAAGCTTAATTGACTAGCATATGTATATTGATTTTTATATTACTGTAATGTCTATGTGATTATTATTTATTAGTCTTTTATTTTGTTGTAAACTGCCCAGAGTGGCCTTAGTAGCCAAATGGTGGTCAGGGTTTTCTAGGTATACAGTACTCAGCAGTAGTTTAGCATTCCCTTCTTCTGGGGGCATCCTGGAACGATGCAGCTTGTCCAAGGCTACACGGGCTTGCTCTGCTCTCAGAGGGCACAGTAGGGAACTAAACTTCCAAGCTCTGGCTCTTCATCTAACTAACTGAACTATCCAGCCAGCTTTTTACCTATAATGGGGAAATCTTTAGAATATTCCCATACATGGTCTCACAGCAGTAATCTGTAACAATTTGTAAGGTCAAATATTGTAATACAAGAACTTACACACTGAACAATGTTATTGTCTTCTTTTTCCTAATCATCCTACTTTTCTGCCTCACCCTGTCTTGGCACACCCATTCTCACAAAAATTACTTGACCAGTTGACTAGATCAACCCATTTTCATTAGATAAGAATAAAATGCCTGTTTCCTAGGTAGTATATAAATACTAATATATGTGAAATATCAAATTGGACCTACAGAGATAATTATCTTGTGTAGTAGAAGGCCATGGTCTTACACTACATAAATAGTTTTAACTTGCTTGCATCCATATTTGGTATTTACCTACTCAGAAAAATTAGTAGCCATAAGTTTGAAAAATACATTTACATGAAGAAATATTATTTTAGTAATATAGTTTTATCCATTCTTTTCTGGGGAGGGATTAATGCCAAATAAAATCATCCTGCTGGCAAGCATCAGCAAAATACATTTCCTGTATTTAAATTTTCTACTTAGCAACAGTACAGGATGTAACTTGAACATGCATTATCTATCCACTGAATTAGGGCTTTAACTTCCTTTTCCCTTCAAAAGAAATGTACACTCCTTATCTACAATTCCCGCATACAGCTTTGCATCAAATGTAAAGGAACTGTGTTTCTAATCTATGTCTTTCCATAAGCACCAAGATCTATATTTTTTATTCTAAAAGAGCTTTCATGCATAAATCAGACTTGACATTTTACAGTGTGTGGGCTTTGCTTCCAGTAAGGCAGATGTAAACCAGCCTTAAAGCCTTCCTGTTCTCATCAAGTCTTTGATCATTTTGCAGCATTGCAATAAAGACATATTTTAAGAGAAGTTATTTTTGTTATGTGCAATTATCCATTGCAGTGATGCTGAGGTATCAAGAGAACAGAGTGTTGATTCTTCCTCTAAAGCCCTGCAATTATTCTCCAAAAGTCCAGAGCCATTCTAGAACAGGTTTTAGGGGTGCATGAGGGCTGCAGTGAAGGGAGAGGTTCTTCTTCACCACTGCTGCTGGAGTCTGTTCTGTCAACAGACGTCCAGAGCTAAGTTCTTCCAAAGGGTAAGTGTTAATCTGGTGGCACTAATAGCCACAGCAACTGGAATTCTAAAACAAAAGTACAGTATTCAATTCCTCTCCAATACACTGGGATGATATGGAGGAAAGCAAGCATCCCCAAAGAAGCCTAAACATGTAGAGCAGGAAACTATAGAGAAGGACTTACTTCAGGATAGAAGTTAGGATACTGACTATAGCACAAACAAGAACCCTGGAAAACTGGGTTCTCACCTGCGTGCATAGCCTACATATGAGCAGAATTTCATCTCTTCAAATAGATCACTCTCCAAATAGAGAAAGCTATGACAGAGCAGATGACTAGCGATGACTAGTCTCTCTCAGCATATTGACAACAACTATGTACTGACTTTATAGAGCTACTAATATCACACTCAGGTTGTTGTGAGGACACAATATTACCTTTTAGAATAGTGTTTCTTGTCAGATAACAACCAAATAAGGCTAACGTAAGTTCAGACAAAGAATCTTGATCCTCAATAATACTGAAGTAATATTCAAGTAAAACCACAGATGGATAACCTGGGGCCTAGGAGAAAATATTCTTAGGACGTTTTTCCTGCATCATTTGGATCCCAATGCTGTCAACAGATGAATATAATAAAATACATATATCACAGCAAAGCAGAGCAAAGCATGCTGCTTTGCTATGATGTTGCATGTATTTTATTATACTTATCCATAGTGTTTAAGGCACTCTCTGGGCACTTTACAATTTAATTATGCAGTCTACCCAGCAAGCTGGCTACTAAGTTTACTAACCTCAGAAGGATAGAAGTCTGAGTGAACCTCAAGCTGGCTACCTAAGATTGATCCCAGGTCGTGAGCAGGTTTGGCTGCAGTACTGCAATTTAACCACTGCACCACAAGGCTAACAATAAATCTATAATACTGTACATCTATAACATATCATGATACAAGACTACCAGTGTAACCATGAATGCTAGTTCACCAGATTAAAAAACATGCTTTATGAGGGTACAAAAGGAGTACTACAGAGCCCAAGGAACTTAGAAACTTTCATAGTATCTTATACATGTGTGACGGACAGGTCAGTAACCACTCCTGTCCATCACAATGGAACTCTGATTTATCAACCAATGGCTGAACAGAAGGGGCGGAACCAAGGAAATATAAGAGGAGAAGAGACAGTTAAAGATCAGTTAGGGATATGAGTTAGAGAGATCAGTTAGGGATATCAGCTAAGTATTTCAGTTAGGGATGTGTTAGAGATTAGAGTTAGGATTTCAGAGGTTAGAGAAAGAGCTAGATAGTTACAGTTAGAAGTGAGAATAGTAACCAGTAAATACACAATTTGATTAAATGGCAAATAATTAAATAAAAGAAGACATTGCAATGATTGTGATTCTGAGTAAATAAATAAAGAACATCAGTAACTTTAATAAAAACTTTCAATGATTGGTTGCCTGTGT